TGTTTCCAGCTATGTTAATATGGCATTTTTTGTTTACTTCGGTGCAGATGGTGAGATGTGTAAGGACAGCTTATACACAGACCTTATCCTGATTCCCTGTGAGATCCATATGAATTTTGACCACTGACTACAATGACAGCAGAAGTGGGCCTGGCATGAGAGATTGCAGTATTGCTTTGCATGTAAAAGAGAGACTGAATGCAGATATTTATGACTACAGAAAACATAAATAAAATTGGAGCAGCTATTTTATTTTTCACTCCCAATCATTTTCTAAGGGGAAGAGAAAAATAAGTGCATTTCATTGAAGTAGGTTGCATATAAATTTTAAGTCAATGGAAGGAAATATTTCCTCATGCTGTACTGTAGACAGGTTGTTAAGATAATGGCTGCTGTGGGTCAGAGACCCAAAGTAATTTTCAAAAGCATTCAGTAATTTTGGGGCTCATGGTCCCAAAATAGTCAGGTCTCATACTGAAGAGCCCTGAATAATTCCTCTGGCAGTAATACAGTCTTTCAGAAGGGACATCACACACTTTTTCAGGAAGCTCGGATGAAACCTGGCTCCCATAGAGGTTAAAAATTCCCTTACTCTCCATGGGATAACAGTTTCATGCCCAGAAGATGCCGTTGCAGGTTAGAGTGATACCACTATAAATTGTTGGAAAACAGCAAACGATGAACTAGGCAGTTATGGATGATTTAGGATTTCTGTCTGAAGCTGTAGGGATGACCCCATGATCTTACTGAGTAGATAGGCAATTAGCTCTCTGCTGACTGCATGTGCTTCCATCAGACTAGGGACTATCATTCAGTGTTAATGATTGCTAGCCAGGTGCAGGCACATGTTTGGTGAGCTGAAACCCTCCTAAGGTAGGATGAAAGCTACAATTCTGGCTGAGCTCTTGGAGTATGCTGCTGGAATGAGTCAACAAAGCTGTGCAGAGCCTTGGTTGAAAGATGTTTTAGTCAACTTGGCTGATAACCTCATCTGGCCAACTTGGTCAATAATCTCTTTTGGCCAAAGCTTGAATAGGTTGTTGTTGCTCATCTCGTCCAGCTCATAGTACTGTGGTCTAGAGTATATTTATATGAGGAATGTGGCAGGAAGAGTTGTCCAGACAAGGTCAGTGGAAGATGATAGAGCAAACTGGCCTTCAGCAAAGACCAGTGGGTTAAGAAAGAATGTTTGGGTTTAGCTGGAGAATCCTGTACTCATTATGTGCTGCCCCACTGCCTTCAAACACCAGGCTTTGAACCCTGACAGCATTAACATCACTGCATTTGTTAGAAATTGTACCCTTCATTGCCTACATCTGGAAAATTGTTGGAGTAAAAAAACTTTTGGGTAAAGGTTGGGATCAACATTTTTGCTAACTTCTGGCACAGGGAGAAAGGGAAGTGAGCAAGGTGGAGGTGAGTGCACTTACTCCATGTGTTGTCTGTGCATTTAGTCATTTTAGATTGCCAGCAAAAAAACCCAATGGATTTATAAAGAAGGGAGAGGGAAATTGCAGCATACTGTTTGTCAGATTATAGATATTTACTCAAGTAGGTCAAATTTTGCGACTTATCTGCTTATCAGTGCCTGTCAAAAAACTAAGCATAGCTTTAAAAGTTTCAGTATTTACGCTAATGTAAAAGTGACTGGAAGATCACTGGCTTTTATTTCACCACCTCACAGAAATGATAATTGCCACAAAACCCTACTGTCTCAACAAATCCTTCCAGTATCTTGTAACCCTGTTCTTGGTATGGCCACAAGTGATGCTCAGACAGCTCTCCTGGGAAGCCTTGCTGAAACCCATGTTTGTGCAGGAGTCCGCACACAGGGAGCTCATTGTAGGTCTGGGGTCTGAAGACTCATTATATTTTAAAAAAGCCAAGGTGTTAGGCTATTAAATATCAACAGAATGAGACTCAGCTATATTTCCCAGGATAAATGAGCACATTTGCTTTAATATTGCCATGTTCACATTTAGATTTTCTTTCTGCAGTTTTATTCACTTATTTTCTAATTCAGAAAATGCACTAATTTGCAGGTTTGTCAATTCCTAATGAATTAAGGTGCTTTTGCTGTGTAGTAAAATTAAAAACCACAGACTAGCAATATCTGTCCTGCAAAACACCCTCCTTAATTAAGCAATAGGACATGTAAGGCTGTATATTTCTGAGTCATTATGGCACACCTCATGTTGTTTTATAAGGTATGAAATCTAATGCAGAGTGACCACCCAAGAATTGTAGTAATTGCCCTAAAAACACTGCCTGGAGTGCCTGGTTGCTATTGCGAAATGCAATCAAGATGTAAAAATAAGGATTAAAGAGAGACTTATGCATGAAAAGAGCCCTCTCCACTATGGCTGTTGCCCTCCACAACAGCCTCTAACTCTGTCTTGTGGAAAGTTTTAAAGAATGTAACTGAATGGGGAAAGTGCAATTAAAGGTTTGTAAATTCCTTGTAAACACCAAGGTGTTCCTGACATCAAATTGTTTAAGGGAATTAAACCCCTTGATAGACAGGATCTCACATGCTTGCCTGAATTCTTTAGGTTTTTGTTTAGCTTTTTACAGACCCTCCTTGTTTTCAAATTTTAGCTAGGATTTTTTTTTTTTTTTTTTTGCAATTTAGTTAATCACTTCTACATAAACAATAATTAAATGGCAATCACCTTGGAAACTGGCTGCAATATTAATCTTGAACTCAAATATAGGGTCTGGTACAGCCAATAAAGCAATTAACCCAATTTGTTCAGACCATAAATACAAAAGATAAAAACATTTAAAATATCAAACCTTAGTAGAAGCAAACTTAAGCCATATTTGTCAAGTAGTTATGTTCTCTGCCAGTCCAGGGAGTATGTTGATGTGTATAAAGTAATCAGTAAACACCCATTCTTCTGGGCTGTTCAGTTTAGAAAAGGATATATGGAGTCCTGTGTAGTTGTGGTGGATACCACGGGGTGTTTGAACCAGACCAGGAGTTAGGAAAAATAGTGATTACAGCCTGCTATGGATGGAATAACTACTTTTGATATGTCCTAGTAGCATCCTGCAGTGATGCAGCCAAGGGGGAATACAGGTAAATGTAGTTTACCCCCTTCTAACTTGGGCAGTGCTGAGTTTATACCAAATGGGTAAGGATATCTATATTTTTATTTATTACTATACCACTGGAATGATGCCATTAGGGTTCCTCCCAAAAATTCTGCAAAACGCATCAGTTTAAATGGATGATTTAGACTTCCCTTTAGGAGCCAGGAAGAAAAAAGAAAAGGTGACTGACAGCCATAAATACCTTTGCTGGAAACTTTCAACCCTTTCAGCCTTCTTTCTTCTTTTTTCCTTCTCCATTTTCGTTTTGAATTTTCTTTAATTGAAACCTCTGTGGCAATTCTAGCCTTCATTGAGCATTGAAATGCCAATAGAGCTGCTCTATAATGGAGGGCTCTGTAGCAAGACTGTACAATAATATCCTGGTGCAATATAACAGTAGGTAGCTGGGGAATGTAATCGATTTCCAAAAGAACTGGAATGACCCTCCTCACAGACATGCAGTTCTCCCAAACTCCACTGACTCCAGCTCCGATCAGTTCTGGTTCACTTCCTTCCTTAAGAGAAGGATGTTTAATCTTACCAAAGGCCAGCATGCAGCATTTTTCCCTCTCTTTTTCGCTTTAAATAGTGTGTGCACCATTATGTCATCATCTTTATTAACCTGCCACACTTCACCCAAATGCGTTTATTGGGGTATATTTATACAGATTGTAAATGTCAATACTTGAATTATTTCTTTGGAGGACAGTGATTGTGGTCTAACAGCAGATGCCTTCCCTTGAAAGAGGGGGGAAATGAAGCAGGTACTGAAAAGGGAAATAACTGAATTTAAGAGAATTCAGGATTTCTGCCACACACATCCTGCATTTCTGTATGAAGGAGTTCCAATCAGGAGAGCTTGCACTAGGAAAGGCCCTTGGTTATGCATTAACTTTTAACCTCACTATGTATAAGCAACAGCTATGATATAGTTCTGCTTGGGCTTTAATGTGCCTTTCAATTTTTAAGAACTTTCCTTCTGAGATGCACTTGTTGTTGGAAACACGCATACACATGAATATTTACAGTTCTGGAAAGAAATTTTTCGTCTCTGTATGTATCCATATATAGAATCAGGATCTAAGTAAAGTTAAGGGACTATACTTTTGTTGTTTTTTGATTTCTGGATCTCTACACAACCTATAAATGTCTTTGAATGGGCAGCACAAAACAGGCTTGATGTTCAGAAAAAACTTGACAGACCTTAAGATGTATTTTAAAATATTTCTTATTTGAGTTATAGGTGGCAATGCAAAGGATCAGAATTGTCAACATTTTCACCTTGTAAATACCTCTTGTTTTATATCAATATAGCACTTTTTAAATTAGAGATTTTATGGAACAGGGCTCCTGATTTAGCAAAGATTTTGCCCTCACTTTCTGTTTCATAATGATCTTCAGGTTTCTGAAATCTCCCCTTACAGGCAGAAGCACTGTCAGTTCCCTTTTATAAACAGTTAAACATAATTTAATTTCAGATAAAACGGTGAGACAAACTGAACTCTCCTCTTTAGATCCCTCTTATGCTGCTGCCTGTGATAAATACAGGGTTTATTATTTCCTCTCTTTTTTTGTTTTCTCATTTCATGCCACACTCACCACTGCCTGTGTCTGCGCTCTGCTCGCTCAACCTCTGCTACATTCGGTGACATTTAAATGGCGTCATAAGTATCCACTTTTTGTAAAGCCCATTTCAGTCGCACACTTGAAATTCAAAAGCACAAACTTGAAGTGATCAAGAGGAGCACTGTTTGCCTTAATTTGGCTACAGCGATATCGCTTACATATTTACTGAAGTACGAAAATGAAAGGATTCGTGTTTTTTGCAACTTGGAGGCATTTCAGAGCGTGTGAAAAGCTCGCGTTATAACAAAAAAAAGGGTGAAAAAGCAAGGAGAGAAAGGTCAGAGCAGCGCTGAGTGCGGCTGTCGGGCTCCGCTCTCGCTCTGCCGCGCTCCGGGGGCAGCGGCGCTGGCACTGCGGGCTGCGGCCGCCAGAGGGCGCGCGTCGCGCTGCTGCTGCCGGCCCGCTGCGGGGCTGCGGCCCCTGTCCGTCCCTGCCCGCTGTCCGTCCGTGCCTGTCCGTCCCTGCCCGCTGTCCGTCCGTCCCTGCCCGCTGTCCGTCCGTGCCTGTCCGTCCCTGCCCGCTGTCCGTCCGTCCCTGCCCGCTGTCTGTCCGTCCCTGTCCGTCCCTGCCCGCTCTCCGTCCGTCCCTGCCCGCTGTCTGTCCGTCCCTGCCCGCTGTCTGTCCGTCCCTGTCCGTCCCTGCCCGCTGTCCGTCCGTGTCTGCCCGCTGTCCATGCCTTTCCGCTGCCTGTTCCTGTCCTGTCCGTCCCTATCCGCTGTCCGTCCCTGTCTGCTGTCAGTCCCTGTCTGCTGTCCGTCCGTCCCTGTCTGCTGTCCGTGCGTCCCTGACCGCTGTCTGTCCCTGTCTGCTGTCTGTCCCTGCGTGCCATCCGTCCCTGCCTGTCCACTGTCCATCCCTGCCTGCCGTCCGTCCCTGTCTGTCCAGTGTCCGTCCCTGTCCGCTGTCCATCTGACCATCCCTGCCTGCTGTCCATCCCTGACTGCAGGCTGTCTTCTGTCCACCTCTGCCTGCCCCTGTCCATCCTGCCTGCCTGCTGTCCATCCTGCCTGCTGTCCATCCCAGCCTGTTGTCCATCCTGCCTGCTGTCCATCCCAGCCTGTTGTCCATCCTGCCTGCTGTCCATCCTGCCTGCTGCCTGCTGCTCGCTGCCCATTGCCCACAGGTGCTGATCTCAGCGTGTTCCTTGCCAGGTTCAGCCTTAGGGACATGAATCCACCCCTCAGATCATTCTGGTGACACCCCGAGCCTCCTTCCCCCCTGTCCCGCTGTCCCTCAGGCGCTGATGGGTTCATGGTGTGTTTTTTCCATAATAAATAAAGCGTTCAGGGACTGAGGATCTTTGCAAACCTCATCACCTCCCATTTCCCTGGGTACCTGCTTCTTTCACCTGCCTTCTCCAAAATAAGAAAGGACAATTGTATCAATCTTCTCCTTTCTCCTGTGAAAATCCCAAGTCCTTTTAAAACAAAATGTTATGCTGCACACACAGTTCACCTTAATAACAAGAAGGAGAAGATGAATGGTACCTGAGAAGTATTTATCATGTCACTGGTAGTGCTATTGGTGAGCAAGGGGCACTACAAAACTACCTTGACCAGAACAGAATTAAAATGTGCCAGTTTCCCTCTGTTTGGGGAGATGAGGGAGCATGAGGGAGCTTCTGGACAGTGTTTTAAGTATCTGTTTGCAAACAACTGTTAGAATTGCAGGTACATATTTAGTAGCTTTAATTCAGTCTTTGAATCTCCCAGGATTTGTGGGTCAGTTAATAAGGTATTTTGTGTTTGTCTTCAGAATTAAACCTGAATACTGAGGTTTGGGCACTTCTGTGTGGAATGATCCCAGCTCATTGGAATTGGAAGTTCAGAGTTACACAGAGCTTGATGAATGTTGCTGTGTAGGTCTTTACTGATGATGTTTGTGCTACAAACCCAGGGTATCAGTCCCAAATGTCAGTACTGTCCAAATCTCCCTTCCTTTCTTCAGGTGGCCAACACTCTGTTTTCTGTTTTTCTGTCTTCTCCATCCAGAGATGGCCTTGTGGGTATAAAGCCTGGAAAGCTTTTTTTGGAAATGAACACCCTTATGCAAATTGTTGCTTGAAAGAGAGCACAGACCTACGCAGTGCAGGTTCAGACTGAGCTCTCACTAAGATCAGCTGTAATGCTTTTCTAAATACCAGGAAGGTTTGCAGAATGGACAGGTATGCTGCATTTATTGATATAAGCTTTTGGAGACCAAAAGATGAATTTTGGCATGTCAAATGGCAGTGGAACCATTTCTGTCAGTCACAAATCCTTGTTTGGATTTAAATTATTTCTGTTTAGCTTGCCCAAGTCCCTTCTCAGTCTGCTGGAGCCCCCAGGTTAGCTGACCACTAGGATGTGGGCACTGTGTTGGGACCACTATAAAGGACAGCTTGTTGAGGTGGATCCAGAGGAGCCATGAAAATGAGAGGGCTGGAGCACCTCCCCTGTGAGGGAAGACTGAGAGAGTTGGGATTGCCCAGCCTGGAGAGGAGAGGCTCCAGGGAGACTTTCTAGAACCTTCCAGTACCTCAAAGGAGCTGAAAAGAAATCTGCAGAAGGACTTTTTCCAAGGGCATGGAGTGGTAGGACCAGGAGGAGTGTCTTGAAACTGGCAGAGGGCAGGTTTAGATTAGGTGTTAGGAAGAAATTCTTTACTGTGAGGATGTGAGGCACTGGAACAGTTTTCTGCTGGAAGCAGTGGTTGCCCCATGCCTGGAGGTGTTCAAGGCCAGGTTGGATGGAGCTTTTGGCAACCTGGTCTAGTGGAAGGTGTCCCTGCCCATGGCAGGGAGTTGGAATGAGATGATCTTCAAGATCCCTTACAACCCAAACTATTCTATGATTCTATGTAAAGAATTACATCTTCAGGTAAGAGGAGTTTTAGCCTCATGGGACAAAAAGGACATAAAAAGTTTCTGATGTTATTAAACTAAGCAGCCTTAGTCATCATGTGGCTGGAAAGCACCTGCAGGAATTGAGTTTTGAAAGAAAACAAGGTTAGTAAAAAACATTTGAGGTAGGACATACAAAAGGGTAGAGGTTATACGAATTAGAGGTGCCTGTAATCTTGTATCAGTGCACTCAGAGGAAAGGATTGGCTTTCATATTTCTTCAGCTGAAGTAATCAAAAAGTAGAGCATCAGCCAGTGGTATAGCTGCAGTAGGCTGAAAATCATGTTTGTATCCTAAAGGCCCAGTGACTTCTTGTGAAACCATGTCTGCTTAAAATGATGAAGAAAACAATGTTGTTTGGGGAAATGTAAAAGTTTAGAGAAACAAAACCTTAAAATATTGTGCTTCTGGCCTCATTAATTTACATAGTATCTCTTCTCTGAGTCATAATCTTTATTAACAGTCCAGGTGCTAATTTTATCTGGATTGAAAGAGTTGGTATGGAACAGTCTGTCCTGTTTAGGATAGAGGGTCTGACATAGTAAAGGCCAGGACTATGTTGGCCAGAGAATGTTCTAAAGCATGGATAGGCACTGGGATTGGATTTACCTTAGCAGTCTAACTAAAATGATTAGTTACTCACCTCTAAAACAAGCTTACAAAGGGCAGTTCCTGAATATTGCAACAGGTTGCTCAGGAAAAATATTAAAGTTGTTTTTAGGTCATTGGATGGCTGCATGTAGGAAGTCTTCTGTGAGGGTGGAGTACATCTGCTTTTTGTGGACTTGCTGGATATATTGCCATTTACAGTAGTTGATATAGCTGATTTCCATGGTTACCACACAGAAGGATTATTCACCTTGTTTATAATTTTGGTTGCATGTTTAGAGAAAGAGAGGGATAAAATGCATATTTGAGAAGTGTAGCCTGTACTTAACACATAGGGGTCTTGTAAGGTTAAATTAGCTAATATTTTCTGCTTTGCTTTGGAGATGTAAAAACTACTTATGCTTTATTACTGTTATTTTGTATTTTTTTTATGTGGACAAATCTTGCCAGGTTTAAGAAATCACATTTCTTAAATAGCTTAACCTTTCAGACCTGCAGGAAGAATTTGTATTATGGAAAAACCTTTGCTTCTAAGGAGAACACAAGACAGATGATTCAGTAATTAAGGTGCTGAGCTGCACCTCAAAAGATCTCATTTAAGTTTCTGGCTGTGAGGAATCCTTCTTCACAGTAAGTCACTTTATGTTGGACTCAGTTTACCCTCAGTGGAGGGCAACAATTTCTTTTCTCACCTGGTCTACTTAGACTGTAAACTCAGAGCCCAGAGACCACCCTTGACTACCTGTTCACATCTAGTGAGGCTGTATTAGGAATCTGGTCTTGCCTGTGAAGAATGATCAGTTTAAGGATGAGACAACTATTTTGCTTGAGGTGTTTAGCTTCCTTCACTGGACAGTGAATAAGGCAAAGGAGATGTCATTGTAAATTAGCTACTTTTTCTGACTTAAGCTGTACAAACATTCATAGTCAATGGACTGCAGTTTTGTTACAGTCATGGGAGCTATTTTACTCTGGAATCTTTACATTAACCAAGGTGTTAACCAGGGTAGTGAAGATAATGACTCTTTTAGGCTTACTGGAGCTCCATGACCAGTAAGCCAGACCCTCTGCTTGCAAATACTTGTGAAGCAACAGTGTCATCACTTCCCACCATCTGGACAATTGGACAACTTTAAAACATTAAGCCAAGTGGGGAAAGAATGTCTCAAATACTCTGATTCGTCTTGAAGTTGTGAATTAGAAGATTAATGAAAGCTTTTGTAGATGTGAATGGGAAGGTGTGTAGAGAAGTAAGTTTCTTTCAATCTGTTTTGTGATAGAGTTATGTTAGAGGATCACAAACCATTATCCTATCTTGGAGATGCTGGGCAGGATTGATATGAAACATCAGGAATACAGTGTGTCCCAGTTCCAAAGGGCTTGCTTATGCTGAGCTCTAAAAATAAAATACAGTCAGAATACAAGCCAGCAACTCAGGGTATAAATTTTAGGCACATGGGATAAACTGGAAAGCATGTGAACTCCCTCTGCCATGCAGAAGGGTTAAAAGCATCACACAAATCCAAGATGAATGCTGGAGGCCTTTTCTTCCTTTTTCTCCTAAGCAGATCTCTGGTAAAAATATTTCTGTGCCCAGCAAAGAGCTCCAGAAAAAAAGTACTCTAAAGGCTGCTCTGGTTGAATATATTATTTCTTGGAAATATTTTAAAAATATGTTTTTATTGGGTCTTACTAAAGTAATGTGAAAATACTAAGTGTTTTTTGTCTCTGGTATCTAACCTTGCCTCTAGACTGTGCTGACCAGGTCTACAAAACAAAGAGAAATACACCCATGTGATCCCTCTAAAGAGCATGAATGTATTATCCCTGATGCAAGTTATTCCAAAAAATGAAATCTTTTTTTCTCATGTTGGTAGTATAACATTATATATAGCACTCCTAGTAAGAGTTTCTGAAATAGCTATGTTGCGTAAAAAGGTGAGAAGGATGAATAATTAGGTCTAGGCAAAGAAGAAATTTTAAAAACATTCATCTTAGAGCTGCTTCACAAAAGAAATGACATTTCAGTTTTAATTTGCCAGCAAACTGGACAACTGGATGCCAAGGGATCCCTCTCGCAGAATATGGGTAGTCCAGCTGCCTTTCCCTGCACACACTGCAGTGAAAATTATTTTTTTCTCCCTGCTAAAGATGAATTTGAGTCTTTGTTTCAATTACAGGTTTTTTTTTTAATTAATAATGCTTTTGAAGTTCTGTAGACAAGAAACAGAGGATAATCAGCAAGCCCTATGAATGAAGATATTAATATTCTGCATAAATATTCCCAGCCTTTTTCTGAGGAGAAGGTACCTGATCAGAGTGTTTCCTTGGACTGGAAAAAGAATTTCAGGCCCCTTGTCAGTGGAGTGGTGACTGATCACTTGGCTTTGATGTCTTTAGCTGTCTCTCAGGAAAGAGGTGCCAGAAGGAGAGGTAGGGTTGAGAGCAGAGGGAGGCTGTTTGGGGTCCTCTTCTTCTACCTGGAGACTGATCCTTCCCATCTGCCATACAAAGCTGTGATTTTATGGTAAATTTCAGCACCTTTGGGGCAGCAGAGCAATGGAAAGGATGACTGTCCCTGGTTGGTGTGGCTGCAGTGGTGTCACTGGTGCTCCCCTCTGCAGCCCAGCTCCCCTTGTCCATCAGCTCAGCCAGCTGTGCCACCTTGGGCTCAGAAGTGTAGAGGCAATTCCAGCTTTTGCTGGACGCCTGTGGTGTGTCACCTGTGTTTTAGTGCAAGGTATTTCACACTAAGGGTAGCC